TATCTGGTATTTACGGTACTGCAGTGGGGCTTAACTAAATAAGGTAAATTGTTACATGTTAGGCTAATGATCTTGCAATTAAACGCACACAGTTAAGTGTATTCCAAAAATGTGTTAGTAAGGTATTGTGCAAACGCTCCGCAAACGTTCTGAGGGCTGGGTAAAAAAAAGAGTAAGGATCATGTTCATTGAATTTTTATGCACCAGCTGTGGGCCAAAGTTTAACAGAGTGTGGAGGTGTCTGTGTTTTCTTAATTTATACCACAACACTCCCCATTGTTCAAGATACATATTTGTTTTGCTGCATGCATTATCGCAACTTGTTACTTTCATAAATGATAGTAAGTCAATAATTGTAGTTTATAATCAGTTTTTTGTCTAAATTCTTATGTCAAAAGTTCAAATTTACGAGTGGTTTCAGAAATTTTCCAGCTCAGGTGACGTATAATGGTGTTGTGTTGGCGGTTGAAACTGGTGTTGGAGAACCTTTGATCGTTGGATCTCTGTTGATGTTGACGGTGTTTTCTTTTATCTCCTAAAATCCAATCTGTTTCTCCTGTATAACACAGTCTGGTATTTCCACCAACCTACTGGATCTGGGTTCTGTTTGCTGGGTAACTGTAGCAGTTGTCTGTTTGCTATTGTGTGTCGCTGTAGCCTTATTGCTTCTCAAGGTAGAATCAGAGGGAGAGGTCGGCTGGACATACCGTACTGGTCCTTCCATTGTTATTCCTTGCGGTCAAAACGCTGATGGTTTGTTGCTTAAACCGTAGTTTACTGCTAATTAATATCGGTGTTTGGTTGTCAATTAGTGTGTTCCGATATTCCAGCACGGTCAGACATGGATCTGCGTTGTTTGCTTTATAAGGAGCTGTACTGTCTGCACTGCCATTTCTGCTAGACCGTAGGACTGTGGAAACCACAAGCTGGAAGTTGTGTACATAAATTCCCCTTCGTTCTCAGTTAATAAACTCTAGACAGGAAAACTGCGGGATGTTGTCGCATACAGCATTTATATTTCTGGTATATCGTAAATCGCGGCCACAGTTGCCATGGTTACTGTAGTACCTGGTGTGGAATCATTGGTTCTTTTCTTTTCTGTTCGACTGTGGGCTCTTCTGGCAGATGCTGCACTTGCTCACCTTCCAGGCTAAAACAGTTTGTCGCGGGCTATGGTCTTTATATCTTCTTGATGCAAATGTCCGGCCCCCATGTAGGATGCCAAATATTTCTTTTCTAATAGACCTTAGAAACAAGGATCTCCTTGCCTTTAAGGATTACGTTTTCATGGACGATCAGCTCGTCTTGCTGGTTCCAGTATTCTGCAATACGCGGGTCGCACTTGTCTTGAGCGTCGGGCCATCCTGCTTTAATTGAAAAAAAAAGAAAACTAAAATCTGAATATGAAATTCCAATCAGGTCATATCAAGTAATACGCACGTTGATTCACCTTTATCCCAACACCACCTGTCCTTGAATTAAAACCAGAACATCAAAAGCCATCAAATAATTTTTCTTATGCAAATCAGATCCTTGTTTGCATTATTTGCATCTCATGATGTCATTCCTTACCTTAGGCAGCGGTTTTCTAAAAAAACAATTAAAAACTACAGTTCGGACGTCTCATGCCTTCGACAGTGTGATATTGTTTTGGTGGGTGTTTTGTGTATGCACAGTAAAGGTTTTTTTTTAAAGATGATTATCGTAGTTATAGTGTTCAGAGAATCTTTTTGTGAACGAAACAACATACTAATTACCTAGCCTGTACCATTTGTTTCTACGGAAATACGGATCGTAGAATTCGTCGAAAAGGAGAGGAGAATTGGCCTCCGATTTTCAGCGATCCAAACTTCAAAATTGCAAAAACACCTTCAACTAGAAAGGCCGACATTTGCTTAAGAGCAAATACAGCACATTTCACCCATCCTTCTTCCCCATTCCACATTTCCCCTAGAAAGGGCAACATTTGCTCAGGAGTAAATCCAGCATGGCTTTAGCACATCCCCAGTACCAAAAATGGACCTATCCCCCTCCGGGCAAAAGGATTGTTCCTAAATCACCCCTGTTCAAAATGTGAACTGTTCCCAAAGATTTTACCCCCATGCAGCAATGGAATCTTCTGCTTTAAGAACATGTAGAACCCTGGTAGAACCCTGAAGCGTTCTATTTGAACTGTCAGTTAGGGATTTGGGTTTTTAAGCTACAATCGCTGTTTTTACTCAAACAAGGTGAATAAAGTATTTCAAAGGGTTGAATCTGCATAGTGAACACTGTAGTCTAAGCATTTGGTGCAAAGCTACCTTTATGCTGAATTTCGGGTCATTTGGTTTTGGTATTAGCACATAGGAGCCAAAAATGTCCTTTTTTGGTCAAAAATAGCAAAAAAGCCCCATTTTACATAATTTTAAAGTGACACACGACAAAAGCGTGAATAACGTTCAGTGGGATTGTATCAAAGGATCTCCTATACCAAAATTCAGGTTATTCGGTTTTAACCGTACCTAGACCGGGCTTTTTTTGACAGTGGGGGACCGGGGGGGGGGGGCTCTTTTGACCC